GGACAATACAAAGGCAGAGCAAGAGCACACACTAGTGGGCGAGGCTGGAATGCAGAGACCTCTCTGTCCTTGGCTTAGTCACTGCTGCCTTCTGGCTCAGAGACCTCAGTCTTGTGGGAAGATGAGTCAAGCAGACCTGGTTAGACTCCTGGGCCCTACCCCAGTTAGGTGACCTTGGCCTGTTTATTTACAAAATGGGCTAATAATAGCCGTCTCCTATTGTTAGCGGTCAAGATTAAAGGAGAAAAAGTGTAGCGAGCCGTTGGCCCTGAGCCTGACACTTGGGATGATGAATCCATCCACATCTGTTGCTGACTGGGCTGGGAATAGCCCAGGGCACCCCTTCCTTCCCAAACTCTCCTCCCTCCTACAGGGCCCCCGACCTCCAGCCCTGCCTGCCTCCCCACTTAACTTAATGAAGACAAACAGAAGTCACAGAGTTCATTCATAACTTCAGGGGAGACTGCTGAGGGAGGGTAGTCAATCGTTTTCCAACCCTGGAGACGGACAAAGAATTGTCCTTTCCCCAGCCTCCTCAAATGCTTTTTGCTTTCTTCCTCCTCAGAGTTCAAGGGCCTTTCTGGAACCCAAGGAGCAAGATCTGAGTGTTCTGGGAGGCACTGCATTAGCTTCAATACTTCACTGGCAACACAGGAGGACAAGAGGCGTGAGCCAGCTGGGCGCAGTGGAGCCTGCGTGGGCTGAGCGCACAGGGGTCAGGGCCAGGCCCAGCTCCTCCCCGCAGCCTGGAGCATGTACGGGAATCGGTGCAGGCGCAGAACCTACAGAACCATTGTAATAGGACCTCACAGGCAGCAACACCAAAACTCACCTACGTAGGCATCTTCTTCCGCTGTTGTTTTTAAAAAATGATCTTAACCCTACCAGACCGCTGTACTGATTTTTCGGTAATTTCCACACAAAGGTGGAATATTGGCGCTAGATGAAAGGTAGATGAAAGGTAGACCTATTTTCTACAATGTCTCCAAGTTCCATCTTATTCTAACCACTTGTTTGCATGTAACTAACATTTTTCTGTATCATGTTGGTTTTTTCTCTTTAATGCTCAGGAGCCCAGGTATAGGGGACAGTTAGGTTCAGGGCCTCAGGTCTGGTAGGATTAAGAAACAACATTAAGGGTGATTCTGTTGGCTTGTTAGTTTGCAAAGCATCTCCCCACCCCTGCTAGGGCCTCTCTCCCATTCAGCTAACGTGGCTGGAGCTGCAAGAACAAAGAAACCTCAGCCCGGTGTGAATTGGGGAAACTTTATTGAACACAAATGAACAGACGTCAGGTTTCCTCTGTGGATTAGGAAGGACTCTGGGCGCCAGGAAGGAAGCGAAGGGAATTTCTGGAAATGTTTGGGGTGGAGGTGGAAGTTCAAAGGGAAATAACTTAAGTGACAAGATGAAGAGCCCCTTCTGAACTGCCTCAGGTGGTGAAAGGAGTGAGGGCCCCAGAGATGGAGACGCAGAGAAAAGGTGGAGACGGGGAGTGAGGATTTGCTCTCCTGCTGCCCAGCGCAGGGGCTGGCACCCTGGGAGTCCCTGGAAGAGAGGCAGCAGGAGTCCGCGGAAGGGGCCTGAGCTTTGGAGTGAGAGCCTAACTCACTAGCCAACTCTTCCACCACGTGCCACTCCTGATCTTGTGGCTTTGCACTGCTTCGCTGACCTAGACCTTCGTTTCCTCATCCTCAGAATGGACTGATAATGCCCACGGCCTGGGGCTGTTAGGAGGATAATGTGAAATTAAAAATATGAAAATCCCCACCACAGCACACTGGACACACACAGATTGCAGTTCCTATCTAAGCACCAAAAGTGACTTATTCCCATCCTTGAGCTTGGCCCAGGCCGGCTGCTGCTTTTCAATGCCCCCTAGAGGAATCAGGGACCTGCTCCAGGTCTCCTCCCCCACCCCCAGGGAGGTGACTTCATCGTGGACTGCTGCAGTCAGATGCTGATGGGCAGCTGCCTCCTCCCACCACGGGCTGGGGGTACCCATGCAATGTGGGGAGGCCTGCAGCTGTGCCAATGCAGCCAGGCCTGCGCCAGAGGCCTCCTGCCAGGAAGCTGTCACCTTCTCCTGCCTTTCCAGAGGCTCCCCTGGGCTGGCCCCTTAGGAGCCCAGCTAGTAGGGAGTCTGTGGCTTTCAGGGTTGTCTGAAAGTGAGGACAGGATCTCCTAACCCATTCACAGAATTCAGTCCTCAGGGCAACCAAAATTGCCCAAGCTATTTATATCCCATTCTTAATGCTTGAAATTGAAAAAAAATCAAAAGTCAAGAGCATGGCAAGGAAAATGACAATGGATCTAAAAGCTGATCAAAGGCTGGACACACTCTTCCCCGTATTACACTCTCCTTTCTAACCCTCCTCCCCTAATAAATGGAATAACACACACACACACACACACACACACACATACACACACACACACACAAATACATACATGTTCACACATATACTCACATGAACAACTATACATACACAGGGTAGAGGCCCCTTACGGAAAGCCTTGATATGGTCCAACATTTTCCAGTTTCTTCTCTAAAACACCACCGACAAATGTAGAGAAGTTGATGAAGGTTGTACATAAAAGATAACATTTTAGCAACTGTGCCTACCACCCGCCACCCGCCAATGGCAAAATATTCTTCAGTTATAAAAACACTAATCAGAAATAATGTTAGATTCCTTCTATGCACAAAAATATAAAAAAAATAAATTGCAGGTATGTTAAAGAGCTATAGATAAATAATTACAGAAACATATATATATTTAAATCTAAACACTTAGATAACCTTGGAACAGGGAAAAATTAAGCAAAGTGAAGAAATATATAAGCCATAAAAAAGGAGATATTTGATCATATAAAATGCAAAGCTTAAAAGAGGAAAAGACATCATACTCAAAGTCATATATAAAATATCATAAGGATGGTAACAAAATGATAGATTGGAAGGAAATATTTGTATCACATATAATGTACTAAGAACTCCCCAAATTATTAACAAGACAATAAATAACCAATAGAGAAATGACAAAGAACATAAACTGGCAAGTTATAAAAAAAAGAGCCAAAATGAACAACGGTAACATAAAATTTTAAAAGCCACACCATCTCGAACAGTACACAGGGAAATTAAAACGAACACGACGACATAACTATTTTCTATCCATTAAAACAGTTCAAAAGATTGGTAATATCTTTTGGGATCTAGGGGCTGGCTCTGTCCCATAATGATAGGACAATTGTGAGTAATTACAAACTTCATAAAAGTCATCTAACAATATTTGTTCAACTTTAAAATGTAACATACTCTGATCCAGGAATCCCATTTCTGCGACTTGTTTGGGCTAATTAAAATATCAGTGTATAAAGCTAGTTAGTTGTCTGTGATGTCTGTTAAATCACTTTTTATAATTAAAAAAAAACTGAAAACAACCTAAATATTATTCAACAAATGATGCTATGGCACATTGTTGAGCTTCTGCATCCTCTACTTGTGCACATGTGGGTCATAGGGCAGTCTGTGCTTCTGTTTCATCATCTGTAAGATGAAGGTAATAATGGCACTTACATTACAGATTTATTTGTGTTAACTTGGAAGGGCTTTTACTATATGTCCCAAGTTTTTTTGTTTTTTTTTTAAAAAGCAATTTGCAGAATTAAAGGGAGTCTTTAAAAATGTATGTACACCTACATTTATTTGCATGCTTTATGAAAAGGAAAAAGTGGAGAGACTCTACATTAAATTGTGAATACCTTACTGCCTTTGTAGTTTGTCGCTAAAAAGAAGAAAAAATCACCAACAGAAAAAAATACAGAAGCCACAAACATTGAGAAACAAATACAAATGCTTACTAATCAGAGGGGGGAAATATTCAGCCTTAAAGCCTACTGGTTTCTGAGAACTTCCTTAATTCAAAGCTCCCTTATTGATGCCATGTGCCATCCAACTAGCCAAGCTGAGGGTGCTATAGTCAACCCCTCAGATGAGGAACAGTGAAGGGGGTGTATGGATGCATGTGGGGTGATTTGGGGGGTGGGGAGGAGGGGTTGATGCTCTGGGCGAAGAAATAAATATCTTTGCAGGGATTCAAGGTAGACTAGGGTTCTAATCCTGCCCGTGGCACTTTTCTATAGAATTAAAATAGTCTGGTTTTCTTTTTGAGTCATTCTCTTCACTTGAGAAATGAGTAAGTGATGGGATCCAGCGAGGTCATATTCACAGGAGGCCTGGCACAGGGCCCTCCTGCCCTCCCAGCCCAGGCCCACCCCACAGTGCTGAGTCCTGCCTCTCCTCCTCCTCCTCTGTCCTACCCTCTCCCATTCCCTGCACTGCCTCGCTCACAGCCTTCTTTTCCTTCCCTTAAGACAGGACGCTGGCCTCTAGGCTTGTCACTCTGTCTTAACACAGCCTGTCTGCCTGTGACTGTCTGTTTACCATGACACTCACTGCTGCTGCATTTAAGGGATTTTGGGTCCCTGTGCAAGTAAAGGCAGGGTTTCTGTCACACACACACACACACACACACACACACCCACACACACACACACACATACACACACACACACACGCCCACACACAGGCACACTGTGCCCTTTACTTGACACAGAACTTTCTAAATAAGAATCCAGGTGTCACACTGGGTCCTGTACAAAATACAGGTTTCATTGGCCACGGAAAGAAAGCTCCCAACGCCAATATGACAAGAGAAGATGAATTGTAATAATTTCACATTACTTTAAAAAACTGCATTTAAAATCATTGAACCTTGAAAGTAACTTGAACAGAGAAAGACAAACGAATCCGTGTCTTTGCAAAGGGCGAGACTCCTGAGAAATCGTGGGGCAGCTGGAAGCAAAGTACCTGCTTCTCCGGCAGTTCCACCAAGTCCAGTGGGAATTCCCTTAAAACTCTCCTGTCAACAAGGTCACACGCTGACCATGCAAACATGACCGTGTGCTGCTGGTCCAGGGAGCCCAGGGGGTGCTCAGGCGCTCTGGGGCCGAGGCTCCCTCCCGCTGTTGAGCAGGTCCGTGAGCTCCCCGATGTACTTGATGGTGTACTTCAGCGTCTGGATCTTGGTGAGTGGCTGGCCCCTCTGGCTGTAGACGGGTGGCAGGTAGTTCCGGAGGGTGTGCAGGGCGTCGGCCAAGGTCCTCATCCGGAGCTTCTCCCTCTCACTGGCCTTCCGTCTCCGCTGCACAGACATCCTGACTTTGGTGCCCTTCTGGGCCTTGGGGCCCCCTGCGCCCTGCAGGTAGGCAGGCTGGAAAGCTAACATGTTGTAGTCCACCTCTACCAGGCCACCAGGGTCACGGCCGCTGCAGCCATCGCTGCTCTCGTTGCTGGCACCCCCATGCCCACAGGGCAGCCCAGCCGCAGCCGGACAGGGAGAAGAGGTGTAAGACTCCAGCGAGGGGGCTGGGGAGAGGCTCTGAATGGGCGAGGCCTGGCTCAGCTCGAAGGGCCCTGCCCTGCTTTTCCAATCCCAGGCGGACAGCAGGCCGGGGCTGCCGGAGGGGCCCAAGCCATCCTCCAGGCCCAGGAAGGTCTCACGCAGGTTGTCCATGCCTGCGAGGCAGCTGCAGAGAGAAGTATTCCCTGGCAAGTGAGAAAGAAGGTTCTGCTCCGCTTGGGCAGAGCTGGCTTTTATGATGCTGGGGGACGAGTGATGAAGTGGGAAAGAGGCCGGAGAGGGAGTTCAAAGGAGACGGCGAGGACCAAGATGGAAGATGAACTCCTCAGGTGTCACTTTCTCCTCATTGATAATTAGCATCTTCCAGCTAAAACGGCTCTAAACAAAAAGGCCTCCAAGAGAAGAAAAAAGGAATTATCTTGTGGTAACTAAACCAATTAAGGCTGCATAACTAGACTTAGCATTGTCCTGTGGAACTCATTAAAGGGGGAGCCAAAGAAAACAAACCTGGGGCAGCCTGCAGCCAGGAGGCGGGGGCCAGGGGCCTGCGGAGAGGAGCAGAGTGCCCCAGAGGGCCTCCTCCCCCCTCCCCCCTCAGCCCACCTAGAGGTTCAGAGCCTGTGGGGTGTGCTGTTGGAGAAACAGGTCTAGGGAGGAGGTACCCCCTCTGAGCTTGGATGCCTTCCTATGCCAAACGCAGACAATAAACCCTTACTGCATAGGGCTGTTGGGAGGAGAAGACATGGTGGATGCCAGCTTCCTCCTTTTCTCCCTCTTTAGGCAATTCCCCCAGGGTTTTGTAGCGTGCAGGAAGCCTACGGGCAGAATGACAAAGGCCGGCAGCTCCAGTAAACTCAGAGCCTTAAGGAGCAGGAAATACCCTCCAAGAAGCTGAAAGCCCTTGCTTTCACTGAGCAGGTTGGGATTTGTCACAGAAAACAGACACCAGATAGAGGACGATCCTTAAGGCAGGACAGGGGGTAGGGTACCTGGCAGTCAGCCTTCTGAAGGTGCTTTGTGTTTTGTTTTGTTTTGAAATCTGGCTGCAGAGTCACACCTTGTTTTTGAAATGGATTGGGGAAGTGTGAAATTAACTAGGGAGCCTGCCTGTTTTCCCCACCCCAGCTCCAAATGCCCCGGGATGTGTGAGGTTGGATGGTCCCGCTAGTTTGCTTCACTTCCTACATGCTCTGAGAGACAGACCTGGGCTTCGAAAAAGGGTGTCTCTGAGTCCCCATTTGTCCCGTGAGCGCTCCTTTTTCTCCACGGAACTAATTCCACAAGGGAGTATGAATATCGGAAGCACAGTGCGTTACATTTCAGCGTAATAGCAGCGTGTCCTCTAACGTGGTTAGTTAAGGCCCCTTTGCAGTTATTGAAGCGAAATGTCAATGGTCTAATTAAAACATGGATGGTCTTTTTTAATTAAGTAGGCTCGGGGAAGGAAACGCTCACTCGGGCAATCTGCGGAAGATGCTCTTAATCTTGATGCTTACTAAAGGACCCTTAGCCCTATCTGGCAGAATAACATTAATAAAACATAATAAATGTAACAAGTGATTGCCTCTCCTCTCCCCTCCCCTTTCTTTTCCTTCAGCTCTTATTGGGAAGCCAGGAATCTGCTGCTACTATTTAAGGACACTTACACATATTCTAATTAACCTTTATTAAGAAAAATAAACCAACAGTTTACAGATGAAAGTATTAAGACTCTATGACAGCGGTTCTCAACCTGTGGGTCGCAACCCCTTTGGCGGTCGAACGACCCTTTCACAGGGGTCACCTAAGACCATCCTGCATATCAGATATTTACATGATGATTCATAACAGTAGCAACATGACAGTTATGAAGTAGCAACGAAAATAATTTTATGGTTGGGTCACAACATGAGGAACTGTATTTAAAGGGCCAGAAGGTTGAGAACCACTGCTCTATGAGGTTAAAAGACTCAGTTAAGATTTCCCCGGCAGAAAGTGGTCAAGCCAAGATCCCCATAAGACCACCTTTAAAAAAAAAACATTTTATTTCAGTTGTTTGTGGTAGAGGCAGGTGACCTGAATGCGACTGAAAAAGAAGGGACTCTCAGTTGACCCGAGGCGCTGGGGTTGCCACTATCAGTCGGCTTTCAATCCTCATTCTAAACCTCCCAGTTTTCCACATAATATCACCTCTGCTCTCAGACTCCCTAACTCTCTCTCTCTCTTTTTTTCTCTATAGCTTCTTTCTAAAATTGCTTATTCCTTAAACTTCTACTTTCCGAAATTTCGTTTTCTAAATGAGACAACATCTGCCAAATCCTCGGTACACTGTTGGCACTTAATAAGCGTTGGCTTTGCTCTTGTCGCTGGTATCAGAACGACTTCCCATGCTCTCACTCCCCTCTGCTGACCTCAGGCAACCAGCATTGCTAGTCCCCAAACCTGCTTTGGGAACAAGGAAACTGCCTGGGATCCTTGCTTGCCAATGTACCCTCTCTTTCTCTAGTAAGAGATAAACCAGAACCAGATGTGCATGGACCTGCTTGTCTCCCCGCAGCTCTCTGAGCTCATTCTGTGGACATGGGGTTCAGGACAGCAGAGCCGGGGTCACGGCTCCAGCTGCTGAGCAGGGCAGGCCTGGAGGCTGAGGCTGCTCCAGATAGCACTCCAGGTGTGTAACAGAGATTAACTCACAAAATCCTCGCAATAACCCTAGGAAGTAGAAGCTATTATCACCACCAGTCCTGTTGTACTAATAGGAAACTGAGGCACAGAGCGGTTAAGTAACTCACCGGAGACCCCACCCCTAACACCTCATAACTGGTAGCCCAGGATTCAAATCTCAGCAGGCTGCCTCGGGCCAGGCTTTAACCCCTGGCTGGAACACCTGAGAACCATCAGAGGCATCGGCACAATGGTCCCTGTAGTGCTCTTGATGCCTGAACTCAAGCTATAGCAGAAACACAGTTAAAAATCGGGATGACTGATTGGTGCCATTCAATCACATGGTCAGTGTGTACAGAGCACCCGAGATTGGCCTGTGTGCTAGCACTGAAGGGGCTAAAAGGATGCAGTAGGTTTAGACTTCCCGTCCTTGTTCCTAAATTAGATGGTGAGACAGATTAGCACCCACATACTTCTCTGCCACGATTCGTGGACAGGCCTGATTCTGACAGTCTGAAGGGAGTGCTGTGTGCACAATCGCAAAGGCAGCCCCTGTCTTGGCCATACCCATAGTTACCCCAATAAGCTTATTTAGTGTTAAGGGCTTTGTATGATTTATTCCATTGGGATATTATAAAAATCCTTTAAAGAAAGTACTATTTTTGTTCCCATTTTATATAAGAAAAGAATGGAGGCTTAGAGAAGTAGAAAAAGTTGTTCACGGTCATGATTAAAAAGTGGAGGAGACACGCTAGACCCAGGTGGTCGGACTGGAGGGCCAGGCTCCAGCGAGCGCTTCCACATCATGAGGGAGGAGCAGGGGAGGGCAGGCTTTGAAAGGGCCCTTGTTCGTGTCCTAAGGCTGTTTTACAGCTTTGGGTCTGCAGCTCCAGAACAGAAGGCATCTGTCTCCCCGACCACCTTCTAGTGCTTTCCCTGGCTTACGGCCAGGCAACCACCTTGACTAAACAGCAGGTAAGTTGACATTTACGCATATTTTCCTATAACTGAAAATGTTAGAAAAAAAAAATCTCATTCTTTCACAAGTAATTTTATGTGTTAATGTTAATAAGTAAGAACACTTTCCTTGTTTGAGTACTTACAGCACTTCCTCTGTGCTAGGTGCCAGAAATGAGAGCCTTGTATACAGGATCTCATGTCATCCTCCATATAATTTGGTATGGTAGGCCTCGTCTTCACCTTACAAGAGAGGAAATGAAACTCAGAAGCTAAGGAGCTCGCCCAAGGTCAATGGAAACAGCCTCTCCTTAAAGGCCACAGCCTCACCCAACACCTTTGCGGTTGACACGCCCAGAATCCGCTGCAGTAATGCTGCGTCCTGTCCTCACTGCCTCCAACCCTGAGCTCATCACATAGACACTCAGCGCAGCCAAGTGTCAGTAGCTGTCTTTGGCCCTTAGGGTCTACTCCCCGACCTTTGTATACTCCACTGTCCCTCAGCCTCAGCCACAGGACCCTGACCATGCCAGCCTCCGGCCTGTCCAGACCCTGGAACTTCCTGCTGGGAAAGAGATAGAGGTGGTGTTTGAACACAGTTAGGACTAATGTAAAAACATGCACTCTTTCCATGCACTCTTTCACGCCATCACAGAATCTTGGCACCCAACTAACACACAACCAAAAAACAGATAATTCTTTTGGGGCAAAGGGAGTGTGTGTGTGTGTGTGTGTGTGTGTGAGAGAGAGAGAGAGAGAGAGAGAGAGAGAGAGAGAAGAAAACTCCTAATTGCAATGTGCTGTCTCCCTATGTCCTTGAGCTAGTCAAGAGAAATAAAAGTAGCAATTCCCTACTTGGTTACTGGCATAGAACTCCTGTGTTTTTGAGCTGTGAGAGTTTTAGCAAGGCCAGTGCCTGCGTTCCTTTCAAGGTCACTGCCATTACTCTCCCGACTAACCCGGGAAACTGTGAAAGTTTTTGGCTCTCCTGACTTGAGTCTGAGGTTCATTGGAAAGCCAAAATGTAATATTTTGGTTTTAGTCCTCTTACAAATCCATTGTGAAGCATCATGCAATGAGCAAATAGATGATTTTCACAGGCTAAGTAATCTACCAGGACAAAATACGGACCAAAAAAAAAAAAAAATGAAATGAAATAAAGTGGCTTACTTCATCGGACACACGAGAGACAGAAGAAAATATGCTGAACTGTAGAAGCCCTTTTGAAAAGAAAGAGAAAACCTGTGGACTTCTCAAGCCATTCCTGAGTAGGATTCCCCGACCTGAAATCATGTGTATCTCCATCCCCTTAACTCAGCAACGTGGGGAGGAAGAGCATCCTTCTTGTCCCAAACATCTGTATGGCTTCCTTTCCCCTCAAACACGCTGACAGCCTGAGCTCAAGATCCCAACTCGTCCACCCATTCCACAGCCAAGCACTGTGTGCATTTTCTGTGTTGAATGAATGTAGATGGAAACCAAGTCAGCGTGGCTTTCCCGTAAAATAATCCACTTGCAGGTAACCACATCCCTGTGGGACCCCTGTGGTTCCTGATCAGAATAGAAGCCTCCTTCTATTTGGAAAATGTGACTAAATACCCTGGCCTCTGTGGCTCAGATGGTTGGAGCATCATCCAGTGCACCCAAGGGTCACCTGAACCAGTTCAATTCCTGGTCAAGGCACATGCCCGGGATGTGGGCTCCATCCCAAGGTGGGGGCGAAGGGGGCATGCAGGAGGTAGCTGACCTCACATCGATGTTTT